TCAACAGTTGTCCTATTTTTACTTTCTGCTTACGATTACATAAATAATCTTTAAGAAGTAAAAGAGGGGTCCCTCTGATGCCAATATTTTCTAACTTTTGTACGAGAATGGGGACAGAGACGGTGTCAAAAGCCTTTTTTAGATCTAAAAAGACAGCAAGACTTTTGTTACCTACATCAAGTTGTTCAACAATTAATGAAGTTAAAGCTGTAACAGCATCCTCTGTAGATTTTGCTTGCCTAAAGCCAAACTGAGAATCAGATAAGATGTTAAATTTGTTCATAAAATATATTAATCTTTTGTTAATTAGTTTTTCTACTATTTTAGAGATACAGGGCAAAATCGAAATTGGCCTATAATTGTTGACATCGTCTCTGGCACCACTCTTGTAAACAGGAGTGATAATAGCTTGCTTTAGTAAAGAAGGAAAAATGCCCTTATTGAAACAAAGGTTAACCAAATGAGTTATGATGGGAGTCACTTCATTAGTGGCTAATTTTAAGAAACTAGATGGTATATTATCCCATCCCGGAGCACTATTAGATTTAAGAGACATTATCGTGTCATGAACTTCCATATCATCAGTGTCCAACAAAACAAATGACGTCAAATGAGTATAATTTGTTCGAGAATTATTTTCCAATGTATTATCCTTATATATTTTTTCTGCTAGGTCTTTACCTACATTAGAGAAAAATGTGTTCACATGATTTACTGATTCTACAGGTGATGGTCTTATGTATAATAAAGGAGAATTGTCAGTTTTTATTTTATTTAAATGTGTTATATTTTTAACATTATACCAGAGTTTCTTAGAATTTTTTATAGATGCGTCCAGCTGTTGTCTGTCATAGTTACGTTTAAGCTTTTTTATTAAATTATTACAATAATTTCTGTACCTTTTGTAACTAATTTTTAAAATTTCATTAAATGGATCACTTTTTAATTTTCTTTGCATATTATTTCTATTTCTAATGCAGCGTAGGATCCCAGGAGTAATCCAGGGTTTGATTATGCGTCTGTTTTTAGGAATATTTCTTATAGTTGTATTTTCTTGGAGTGATTTGCGTATACTATCAGTTAATCTTTCTATTACTAAGTTTGGATTGTCACAAAGAAGTAGTTCTCGGAGATTTCTCTCAGCTAAAGAAAGAAGCGCTTTATTATAATCTGTTATTAATTTACTTTTTGTACATTTGATTTGATGTATTTTATGCCTAGATAAACATAACAATACCATGTTATGATCGGTAATAGTTGTATTAAGAACCGCGATTTGCGCAGCAACTTTATCCTTCTCGATCTTAAGCATAAAATGGTCAAGACAACTATTTTCTCTTGTAGGGATAAAGTGTCCAGATAATAAACCATGTGAACACAACATATTAAGGTAATTTATTCTGTTGTTGCGTTCATAAGTACCCTCAGACTGTTTTGAAATTAAGTTTATATTCAAATCTCCTGTTATTACTATATTCTTATGTGCCTTTATACTGCATAGATGTGAGTTAAGAGAATCAATGAAATTCGCAGCATTAATATTAGAGGGTGATCGGTATATACACAAGATAGTCGTATTAAGAGTTTCTACTTGTAAGCAAGATGCGTGGACCAATTTCAATTCCTTAACATTAGCAGTGATGTTATTTTTAACATATATAGCCACACCATCGTTTTGATTTATCTGATGGGTAGTAGCAAAAGAGTTATAGTTACTGAGGCATGGTAATGGTAGGTTAGGTCTTAGTCTACACTCCGTTAGAACCAAAATATCCAGGCTTATTTTTAAGCTTGCCATTGTAAGTATAAGATCATCAAAATTACTGTATACGCTTCTGATATTTTGTGTTGCTATTACGATATCCTGTTGCTTAATGCGAATATTATTTCTAAGTACATCAGTATCGCAACGTAGTGTATGGGCAATCATTGTATTGTCTATTTCATTAAGCGTACTAATAGAATTATCCATTAGGGAAATAGTTAAAATAACCATGTAAAATTATTACGGGTGTTAAGGTTACAAGAAAGATACGCATTAAGTCACGTGCCACTGCAATCTTAGAATTATAATATAGTATGGAACTAGTGTCAGACGCAACGTGTAAAGGTTTGTGCATAAAACTATTGAGTATAATGTTTTTATGTTTGTATATAAATTGTTTACATAGTGTGTTTGTTTGTAGAGTTATAGAAATGTATATAAGTTTGCTTACATGTTTAATGTATAGTGTAGTATTAGTGTATTTGTATATAATTTGATTACGTAATAGTTTAAAAAAGTTAGTATTAGTGCTTATCAATTCAAGAAATATGATAAAGAAATTTAGAACACGGAGAAAAATCAAATCGGCAATAAAAAGAAAGGAAATAGATATCAACATTTGTTTTAAACTTAACATAACATAATATAGTCATGCATTCAGTAGCAATTGATGAGTTTGAGCTTCACTTTTAACTAATATAATAGGAGAGTTATCATCTTTTCTTACGTAAACTTTCCCATAGGCAGTCCAGCAGTACTTGAAGTTTTTCGATTTGACCAGGTCGCGAGCAAGAAAATGTAGACGTGATCCTTTCGCCGTTAATTGCTCGGAAACAAAGATAGGTGTGTCCTCAGCCGTACGAAAACCAAGGTGCTTGGCGCATAACTTATTCTTGTGTTTAATATTAAATGATTTACACATCTTCAATATATCATTTTTTATGAGAGTAGATGTAGTCTCAACTATTATAGGGGTATTTTGTACGTTTACCTTTTTTCCACGCACTCTATATATGTCCTTAATTTGAGTTCTATTAATTTCACAGCCAATATTCTTCGTCAAGCACATAACCATAGTAATTAAATCTTCCTTGGTTTCGTTTTCTTTTTTTGGTACATTTTTCATTTCAAAATTAGACTTACGACTCCACATCTGTAAATCCTCCAATTTATCCTCCAGGATACATAAATACTGCCTGTCTTCTTTTATTTGACCTTCTAGATGTTCAATTTTATTTTTAAATTCTTCATTTTGTGAAGTGAGATATTTTATAGAATTTTCAATGCTTATGTTAGTTTCTTTTATTTCCTCTAGAGTAAGTGCAATTTTCTCCATTTCCTGTTTCTGAGCTTTGAATAAAGATAGCATCATAGATCTCATTTCGTCCTTGAGCCCACTCAGTTCCGAAGTATAACTCTCTCCTCTGCGTTTATATCGAGAGCTAACGAAGCTCGGTGGAGTTTCTTTAGTCCCAAACTGATTCAAATCCGTTTCCGAGAGAGATTTATCAAGCGAGGTATCCATCGTAATATAAGAGTTTAGAATCTGCTCTAAGGTGTTAAGTAATTAACGACTTGGGGCCAATGTGCACTGGCGAATAGTTATAGGTGTTTGTAATTAAGGTCAAAAGCCAATTAGACGAAAGAGGCGGGATAAGTAATTAGTGTCCGAACCAATTAGTAAAAAGGGGGCAGGGCTTACGCAGGGGTCCTCATTATGGCGTACTTTGCGTGTGCGCAGATTGGTTCGCATAGGTGTGTATTCACTTCTATTCGTTTCTTCACAGTACCAGGGCCTCAGAAGCGTTGCGTTGAGTGTAGATTAGTAGTTGTAGATACATATCTTCTTTTTTTATGCACTCCTATTATTTTATGCGGAATTAATTTTGAATTTTACTATTTTAATATATAAAAACGCGAAATAGTAGCAGGTCAACACGTTAGCACCTTACGGCGGTCCAAGGGGAAGAGCAATCAATAAAATACCAAATTGGCAATGTTTATAAAAAAATTATTTGACAAAATGAACTCATCTTTCTAAATACATTTGGCACAAAAATATTTTGCATAGACATCTAACGGAACTAAAAGAGCCAAATCGGGTAATAATTTAAATTTTACACATGAAAATGGTTTTAAAGCACTCTGTATCAATAAATATGTTTCCTGAATAAATATTGAAATTCAGCAATAAAAATGTCTACAAATTAGCGATATGTTCTCGTTTTACTCATCTTTATTAAAGAAAAAACTATGTACATGTCTTGGAACGGGATAGCGAGGATTCATTTTTTCTGTTTTTTTTTCATTTACATCTGGATTCAATGTTGCCACTCTTAAGGCAGTCGTAGCTCAGTGGTAACGCCCTCGCTTGGGTAACCGAGTGAAACAGGTTAAACACACAGCACCATCTAGTTCCATGGTAAGCCGCGAAACCTGTGTTATGGATACCAGATAGTTGATACACTACACATATATAACTTTAAATATATACATATTATAAATATAAACACTCATCACTGGAATACAAATATTCGTCATCACACAAATGAATGCCCTCAGCGGGACTCGAACCCGCGACAGCTGGCACAGTAAGTAGGGTCACTACAAACTGAGCCAAACGTGTCGTCATACATACATTGTATGTAAGCCGCGGTAACTAAAAATATAAAAGAGCGACTTCAAAGTTTGTAGCTGACTGTAGGTACTCATTAAAATCGCATTCCGAGCCGGCGCGGTGGTAAATTCTTTAGGAACTGTTCATTCTTAACGCTTTTATTATAAGCTTGACTTATAATTAGTATAGTAACATTAACTTGATACCATCGAGACGGTCTGATGATCTCTGATATTTGCATGTGCGAATCATTTTCAATAGATATATCACTTGTTTTACGTTGAAGGCAAATATCGTGAAAACCTGCATGTCAGAGAACCTAGCAAGTTTTTGAAAGACATGTGAAGTCCGCCAACCCGCACTTGGCCAGCGTAGTGGATTATGGCTTAATCCTCCTCGTATTGAAGGAAGGCCCGTGCCCACCAGCGGGACGTTAAAAAGGGCTGAATACGCTTTGATGGATAAGTTTGGGCTCATTTGTATCGTTTGATATTTATAGAATATTATAGTCGGAAGCGATATCTATAATCCATCAAATCAAGTTTTTAATCTTAGTATTACTTTAGATATATTTAACTAACCAAAGATAAATTAAAAACGTCATTAAAAGGCACTTACAAATGTGGAATTGTTCATCAGCAACCTGGTGGTGAAATTCTTCACATTAAAGAGGGTGAGTCCACCCCATCGATCTCTGAACACCAGTTCTTCGTCTGAAACAAAAACATTATATATTTTAGATTCCAAATAAGTTTTATGGTTTCATACATCTACTTTATATTTGTGTCCATTGTTTACTTGAAAAAAAAAAACAAATACACGGCATATGACTCCCGTCAATGCGAGGGCTAACAGGCCATAGTCTACCACGCTGGCCAAGTGCAAGTTGACTTCACATGTCTTTGGGAAATTTACTAGGATCTATCAGACATTTCACGATGTTTTCTCACGATGTTTTCCTTTACCGTAAGACAAGTGGTAATCATGGTGATAATGATTAGTACATGAGAATATCACAAGTGCAGTACCCAGGGCTTGAACCCGCTTTATTTGGTTTTTCAAGCGATATCACTAAAACTAGGCTGCCTTTGCCTTTTAATGTAAATACTTAAGTTAAATCCGCTATTTTGTATATTTATCATTTTTATAAAAGCTTCATAGATATTTTCGTTTTGTACTTCGTGTCTCGTCGCTCCATCAATCAACGTCGCATGACAGCTTTTACACTTGATGACATAACGTATGGAAGAGTGAAGCTTATTTAGGCGCATTTTACATAAAGGAGCTTTTCATATAAATAATTAAGTCTGTAACATTGTTGGTTCATGGAAGAAATAATATAAAACCTTTATCTATATTTGTTAAGAGAGAACATAAGAAAATATTATCCTCTATCCTCTAACTTCTGAATATATCATAATATTATAAATTATGTGAAAGATTTTGAATATATTTGGAAGTTGGTTACTCAATATATAATAATAATGACTTCCTGAACTATATAAAGGTCAAACTGTAGAGCACAAGTACATGCGCAAAGTGCACATTTCATTACTTTCACTCTTGAAATTATTATATTTAAAAGAGCAACTGTTGAGTTTCTCGCCGGTTCTTCTCAGCAGAACTGCCTTCCAAGCTGGTGTTAGATTCCTCACGGACTGACTACACTGACATTTAATTTAAATTTTAAATGTAAAATTGACGATTCAAAAGTACTTGTAAAAGTCTATTTAAATAAAATATAATTTGATTGGATATTTTAGATTTGATTTAAAATCTGATGGCAGGGTTCCTCGGTAATACCTATCGATAAAAGGCGAAAGACTGTTGGGAAGGGAAATAAGGTGTAAGACTGTTAGCTTTATGTGCTCTGTTAGACGTAACACTGTCTCCTTTGCAATTCCGGCCTGCTACTGAGAATTTCTGACCCCACGCGGGATTCTAACCCAGAAGTATAATTATTTATTATCGATGATATTTAATAATTATACTTCTGGGTTAGAATCCCGCGTGGTTAGTGTATAATTATTAATTATCGATGATATCGCGTGCACCAGAATTGAGTTATTTTTTTTCGCAGTTGGTTAAAAATAGGTTTTAAAATAGGAATAGCGTGCATTTTTACTGCAACAAGTAAATTTTGTGTCAAACAAAACCTAGAAACGTCTCATCAGTCAGCCACCATACACTTTGATACAACCTTTCCGTAAAAGCAGAGTCATGTAGAGTCTGCACTGTACTTCTTTAATCGTGCTGGCATTTTGGTTTGAAAAATATTTAAACTTTTCGTTGCACTTATTTATGTATGATGGCTACGTTTGTAATCTATGGATCAACAGATCCTGGGTTCGAGTCTCAGGTCGGGACTTGTGTACGTATAGTTATGAGAAGTACTTTTCTTATTGGGTACGTATAAAGTCGGAGCAGCTTTTAAGTTAAAAAGTAGTAGTACCAGAGGGCAGTATACATTTGAATATAACATAAGATTTCATAGACATAGAAATTTTTGGCTATCAGTTAACACAATTTAGTTAGTATTTCAGTCCTGAGGGCAGTGGAGTTCAGTAGCGTTACAATCCGGGTGTGGATTAACATGTGGTGGTCCTAGTTCTTCTAGCAGAGTAGACCATGAAAACAAACCCTTAATTGTCGTGGATGGAAAAGTAGATGGCCTCCTTAAAAAATTACCCATAATCTCAAGGTCGGGTGACCCGGCTTTTTCGTTTGGGAGGAGGTCTGCCAGTAGTGGGTAGGTAAAGGTTAAGATTTTGTTACGGTTATATATGTTGTTTTGTGAACACAAAGTCATTGATCCTCTTTAACCTTATATACACTTGATGGATTGCTGAAGTTAGAACTCTTAAGGTTAATTGAGATGGAGCTAAAAAGTTTGGCAAATGGAAAAATATTGTCGAGACAAACTATTTTATTAATGGACGTCTCTAGTCATTCCTCCAAACTTTTCCGAAACACTGTTGTTCCATACATATTTTAAGGGAGAGTTGATTTTATATATAAAAATAAATAAATATGTTGGGACATTAACACACAGCACCATCTAGTTCCATGGTAAGCTACGAGACTTGTGTTGTGGATACCAGATAGTTAATACACTACACATATATAACTTTTAAATACATACATATTATAAATATAATCAACCATGACTGGAGTCAAATGAATGCCCCCAGCGGGACTCGAACCCGCGACCGCTGGCACAGCATGTAGAGTCACTACAAACTGAGCCAATCATGTCGTCGTATTGCCTAGGTGTAGGTCTCCGAAACTGTAGAGAATGGAACTCTTATTGGATCTCTTAGGTCTGTCTGTTTGCTTATAATATTTCTTGTTTGCAATAAAAACATAGGCTTATCTGACATATGAAATAAGAGGATTCGTTATTCGGAATACGGTAAGGAATTACAAATAAAAGATAAAAATATGGCATATTTTAAAACACATTTTCTAACAGAAAAAGTATTTTAAATAAAACTATCTTTTCGGACTTTTCGCGAATTTATTTTGATTTTTGGTTCCCGACGTTTCGAATGCTTTACAGCAATCATGGTCGCGGGAGAGACTGAGGTGCTAAATGTCTCATCAAAATTCAATTTTTCAATTTTTGAATTCATTTTATTAATTGTGCGTAGGCTGTCTGTAACAACTATATAATACCTTAGAGACATCTAACACCTAAGTCTCTCCCGTGACCATGATTGCTTTAAAGCATTCGAAACGTCGGGAACCAAAAATCAAAATAAAGTCGAGAAAAAATCCGAAAAGATAGTTTTATTTAAAATGTCAAGTATTCGCGTAAATCTAAGAAAGTATTAGAAAAAGTATTATAAAAGAATTTAAAACATCACTAACACGATATTTTTTCAATCACAATATTTTGTGAATAATTATGAATATTATGCAATTTGTTAATTGATACGAATTTTGGTTTGCTACAACAAAATATTTGCCTAATTCGTATGAAATAACTTAAATATTCATATACCTACCTATGTTATATTGGTATTTAATTTTTTTCATCCATTAAATGAATCACATAGTAAGTAGTATATAAATATTTATTTAGACCAGTTTCGCAAAAACCGGTCTCAATTATTTACTTCAAAACTCATAAAAAATTCAAAAAAGAGTATACTATGTTTATTATCTTGTAGGTTCAATGGCTACTACGTAAGGCTGTAGATCATGAGGGCCTAGGTTCGACTCCCTGCTTAAGCTAAAAAGTGACTGGGCTTTTCCCTTTCTAATAAAACACGTCCGCCTAAGAAAGTTCGTTAAACTATCATTTCTGTGCCTGATCTCTCACCGGTTGTACTGAATGGTCGGGGAGAAGGACATAGAGAGTGCAAGGGCCTGAGTGCGCTTGTGTCTGCTCACATGCTAGTCTTAGTGAGTTCAGAATTTGATTGACGTGGCCGAAAGCGGTCAAGCCGACATTATTATATAATATATTTCGCACAGATCTTTCATTCCGTAAAAAAAAAAATTTGCAAGCATAACTTAAACAGGAATACTCACAATAATTATATATTTATTTTAAGCCCTAAGGCAAAGACCGACAAACATAAATACAAAGCATTATTATAACTAACATCAACTCTTTGAATAGCTCTATTGTAAATGACTCGGGTTGAATCGCTTTCCGGTTGTTTCCGTTGTCCGGATACACCGCCATATTGCTTTGCAACAACATGAAGATGTAGAGCTTCACTTTTACAAATGTACAGTGCAGTTAACTTTAAATGAAAAAGCTTATTATTAAGTTTTGAAAGCTTAAACAAATTATGCGTTATGAGAAAAACTTGTAACAGCTATAACAAAATAACTTTCATCGTTTTTCATCGACTCATTTTTACTGTACTTGCTTTATTGTATATATTGCTAGTATTTGACACATTAGTGACTTTTTGATTTATATTGACGTTTGTTTTGAGTATTACTTTATTAGGTTACTTATGTCTTAAAAGATACATCGAAATCAAAATCACTTTCAAAGAAATTATTCTACCCTTAGCGGAGGATGTTTTAAAGTTTATATGGCATGGTAAGATATAATTTATTTATAAACAAAATTGAAAACCGTCATGCAAATAGCGAATATACCACGAAAAATAAGCAAAAAAATATTGAATACCTTTTTTTTCGAAGTCGGTCAAACAGATTACTTTCAAAACGGAAGTATACAAACGAAGGAAGTTAAATACAAGCTTGTAATAATTATAAAAGTATTTGTTTAAAAAGCTCTTAAAATAGGTTTTAACAATGTGCCGCAAAATGTCTGAGCTTCGCGAGGAGAGGAAAATAATACCTTGGACGAGAGTAGCTAATTATGACTTGAGCCTATTAATTAGTTCGTTAGAGATCTTTTTGTTTGTGTTTCTGAAAAGGAAATAGAACTACGGGAATGTTAATTTAAAGTTTAAGATTCGTTAAAAAGTATTTTATTTGAGAGAATTTAGTGGCTATATACTTACTTTAAATGTAAAATATTTAAAAATATTTTATTTAATTTATTTAGAACGTCTACAAGTATTTCTTGACAGAGCCCTTCCCCTGTTGTCGGTGTTCAGACTCAATAAAAGTACTTTTCAAAAACTATGGAAGCTAGTATATTTTCAATTTTTAATGGCTGTTGTTTGTGCTATTTTGATAAGCCTTAACAGAAGATATCATGGAACTGTGACATGTTTTCCGT